CTTAAGAAGTTTTCAAGCGCTTATTATCATAAACAACTTCTCCAAGAACTATGTTGGCTTGATTCCACATCGGGTACGTAGGCAGTCCAGACCCTTGTTCTAGATGCAGCCATTCCAAAGGAAAGACATCTCCCTAACCTATTAAGTTGAAAACCTGAAAGGGAACTCAAGCAAAAGATAAGACACAAAAAAAGAGGAGTAAAAAATGAGAAATAAGCTTGCTAAATGAAAACCTGGAAGGGCATCTAGGTAAAAGATAAGGCATAAAAAAAATAAATGGCATGAGTAATGAAGTCAATATCCTTTCAAGAGGAGCTGACAAAGGATAAATGATACAAACTACACATATCTAAGGATAAAGAAAATTCAAGCTAATGGTATCATTTATGTTGAGTTTTGCTATTTGATCCAAGATCAGGAAATCATGAATGACAAAGAAAAAAAGTGGCTAAGGTCCCAAATTAGTAGTTCATATTAATTCTTTGTGTGCAACGTGCCGACAACATTTCAAAAATTCAAGCAATGCTTTTGAGGCAAGAAACTCCCAACAAAAAGAAAATAATTTTTTTCAAGAAGTAATGTGTTTACAATTCTCCAAAAACAAAGAAAAAAAGTGTTTTCAACAAGTTATGCATTCACATTTCTCTAAACAAAAAATAAATGTTCCCAGCATCTCATGTAATACATCACCACCATCTATTCCATCATACATCTCCAAGGCATATCAACTACAATCAACAACATCAACACCATTCAGTTTCAATACAAATAAACACCAGGTACGCAATCATCAAGTGTCTCATTTCTTACATTGCAGATCATGCATCTTTTTGTTACAACTACACAGTCTCATCTTCACATCAGCATCACCACAATCATTGTATTGCATCCATTACGAGAGCTCTAGCCTCTGGATCCTATATGCACCTAATCCTCATATTAGGTGCTTGACCCAACTCTCAACATCAAACCATATTTTGGACATCAAAGTCAAATGCCCAAAGAGCCATGCATATTGACTTGCCCGTGTCAAACATGCATGGCTTAGGTATAAGAATCTATTGGATATATTTTAGTTGCGCTTAACAAGGAAATACATTGGAATGATTTTTCCACACTCAACAATTTATTTTCAAAAAATATTTTCTCATTAACAAAGGTCTTCTTTCATTTTTCATCAATTATTTATCAAATCATGCATCCCGAAAAATTTTAAGCAATTGGTCAATGAGAGATTCTGTAATTCCACTGATGCAAAGACGACCGTAGTCCTAAACACCCACACAAACATTGAGTAGATTCCAAGGATTGGCTTGTGTACAACAATCCTTTTATCAATAGTCGAACAAGTGCTAGACAAATATGGGAGCGTACCATAGGAGATTCCAAGGGAATCAATTTCGACAAAAGAAAAATCATCTCCTTTCAATCAACAACACTTTTGTCAACGAAAAAGTTTTTCAAGCAGCATTCTTTTGAAACGAGACAATCATTCCATTAGATTTCTGTGCAAAAATGGCTTGTCTCCGCAACCTTTGATGTACGAATCTCCAACAAAGAGGGCCAATCTATACACACCCCATTTTTGTGCCCTTTAGTCTTTTTGTAGCACTTCGAGCTTTAAGCATGCTTCAACTAACCTTTCAACCGACCTAGGGGCATTCTTGGATTTTTACAAAATTTTGGACCTCTAGTATCCGATATCATAGGTACATAGAGTCCAAAAATCCAAATCCAATGACACCAAGATCACCCAAATCCAATATCATTTACCCATTCATTTTAACACCCAAAGCCAGAACCGATTATGATTGTCTGGTCGGGGTAATTTTGATAAAAAATCTCATCTCATGTCCAAGGTTCAAAGTACCAGAAATGTAAGGTGTATTGAAAAGGTAATTTTAAGAGACGTATCGGGATACACTTTGGATACGCATAGATACAGATGAAAAATCAAGACGCATAAAAATGCTAAAAAGCTTAAATAAATCCTAAAAATATATTAATAAAGATAGTTACAAGTTTCGGATGATTGTAAATAAGTTATTTAAAAGTAAAAAACTGTAATTTAATGGTCTATATAAAATTCGAGATATTGAGCTTAGTAATTATTGACAAATGATAGAATAACTAAAACGCGAAAAAACAAAACAAAAAAAAACTAAAATGTATATTGATATACATTAGTTTTAAAATAATCAATATAATTTATCTTAATATTTATTAATACATAAATTTTAATAATTAATTCTAACATTTATCGATAAGAATACACTAAGAAAAAGAGAAAAACTACTTAAAAATAAAAATGTGTAACCAAATAGCAAGCAAATGGGCGTGGCTTAGTGGCTAACCTCTAGTTCTTAAAGCCTAATGTCTAGGGTTTGAATCTTGCTATTGCTAATTTTTAGTTTTATACTAACAAAACGATTTTGTTACACATTTTTAGGATGTCTGTGATTCCTGAGTTTGAGCTGACATTTTTAGGATGTCTTAAAGCCTAACCTCTAGTTCATAAATTTTTAATAATTAATTCTCTGTTCTCTTGTTTCCTGAGTTTGAGCTGACATATTCAGAATTGATGTCTGTGATTCCAGAACCGGGTCCTGTCTATCTACATCTTCAAGAACTTCAACTTCAGAATTTGGTATTTCTGGGATTCCAGAACCGGTTCTATGATTCCAGAACTTGGTCCCCTCTAGATTGTCTGTATGCATTCAGAATTTGGTATTTCTTCCATGAGTTCTAACCTTACTGGTGCATAATTTTTGCACCCTATCAGCAGTTGCGAACTTATGGTTCTGGGAAGCTTAACTGTTTTCTTCCATTATTCTTTTCTTGACCTGCTACATATTCTGGATTTGGTATTTCTTGTATGTGTTCTGACTGTACTACCAACTAACTATTTTAAGACATCCTCTGTTTTCTGGTTGGACTTGTTCTTCTGCATTATTGGAAGCATTGGTGAAGCACTGCAGGGAAAACATTTTTTTGTGTTCTTTTTTCTCCTTTGGGGGGTTTGGGATGCCTTTACTGAAGTTTATTGATATGAAAGGTGAGTGGGGGGGGGGGGATCCAAAGTTTACTTTTACATTATCTCTTTTACAAATTCCACATGGATATTAAACTCCAACAGTTTATTTATTGATTTGAAAGTTATAATAATTACCAGTTTGAAAATCATTATAAATAAATTGCTTATATATCTTTTCTTATAATGAATTATTTTTATTTTACTAAAAAAGTAATTTTCGAATCAGTAAGATTATGACAAATTTTCCCGTTGTAAGCTTGTAGTCAGGATCCCTGCCAATAAGCTTGTAAGTCCTAGAGTCTTAGAAAAGTCAATAAGCTTGTTGTAAGCTTGTACACTAATACATGGTTCTCACAGTCAATGGAGTTATTCCTTTTTATTCATATTCCAAACATGCACCAATAACTCAAAGCAAATAAAATAACAATAAAACAATAAAAAGGCAAAAATCATTTGTGTGACCAATAACATAGATACTGATTTTACAATAATGCAGAACTAAATGCCCATTCAAACAAGGATGCTTGACATCCTCTGTAACAATCATTTGGGTGCATTACTTTCTGGGATTTCTGGGACTTCAACTTCAGGATTTTAAACACTAATATCCCAAGATATCTTGGATGTATAAAACTCGGGCAATGCTTCTTTCACTTTACTTACAGGAGTCTGATAAGAACTCATGCCTTCTTCCAGAGGAAGAAATATTCCAGTCAATGGCATCAGTTGCAAGATCCCCTGTCATAAGAGAAGCTGCATTACCTTTGAAAGATCTATTACAGAATACAGGACCTCAAGGAGACCAAGAATTTCATTGGTATATATGATAAGATATTTAAGTTAAAATTATCAAATTTTAAAACTGGCTTAAATCCTACTAATAGAAACAAAATCTCCATAGAGAATAGGCTTGAAGATCAAAGTCCTATGTCAATACTAGATTTTTGCTCGGTCTGCCGCTTGTACCCCAATTCGCCCCAAATTCTTAATCAGACCCTTCGGATCCTTCCAAAACACCCAAAAACTAAAAAAAACCCAAATTTCACCCCAAAATCCCTCAAATCCACCGTTAAACCTACTTGATACCTATTCGATGGCCCCGATCGACCCTTACTTGCACCTCAACCATTAGATCAGACACAACCATCAGACCTAGAACCTCCCAAAGCACCTAGCCATAAAATTTTAGCTCAAGATTCCTCCATTTACCCTTCCATCAAACTAAGGTTCTGTTTTGACACCTCTTGTTAGACTAATCACTCGGAACCCAAATTCCCTTGATCTTGACACATCTGAACTAATCAAACTGCACCATTGAACTCCAGATACATCAAAACACCTACCCATAAAGTTTCAACCCCAAATTCCCCCATTTTCCCTTTGGTCAAACCAAGATTCCATTTTAGAACATCCCATCGACCCAAATTCCTATGATCTTGACCCTCCAAGACTAATCAAACATCACCATCAGATTCCGAACACCTCCAAATACTCCTTATAAAATTTCATCCAAAACTATCTTTGTTTGCCCCTCGATCACACAAAGATTCCATTTCGATGCCTATGATTTACCGAATCAAACCCTTTTCAGATCTAACCAGGGCCCATTTGGGTCAATATAACCCCATCAATCAACTCGAAATGTCTAAAAACCCTACCCTATGAAATTGTATCCAAAAATACTTTCATTTACGCTTCCATCTAAAACGATTCCGTTTCGACCAATCTCGTTAGCCCACTCACACAAAACCCTTCTCGGCGGTCAAATCCATCTCAACCTTTCATTTTTTTTACCCGAAACCAGCAGCCACCATTGGACCAGAACCCCGGTTCAACCCCTTGTACACGGTTTAATCCAGTTTGTCTAAAATGACCAAAATACCCTACATTTTTCCTGAAATTACAAAATTGCCCCTGCCTCCCATATAAATTGCCCCGGTTCACTCCCTTCGTTTTTTTTTTTTTTTTTCTTTTTGGCTCCTCCATCATCACCGAGCGAATAGACTGTTCATCTCCTCTTTCGTTCGAACAGAGGCGAACCAGAAGCGGCGGCGACCATTAAAACCTCTGCCTCTCTTGGTCTTCGGAGCTGCTCTTCTCCTTCATCCCGACTGTGAACCAGAGACGACGATTTGGATTTGGATCAGTCTCCCTCTTACTCCCATCGAGCTAGAGTGTCATTCAGCGACGGTTCGTCGTCTCCTAGTTAAAGAGAACAGGGGAGCTGTATTAGAGACGACATTTGCTCCATAATCAACCCCTACCTGCAATTCCCAGAGGAGTTCCCTATCGTTAAGATTGTCATCTACGTCGAATTCAAGTCCAACTTCGAATAGAAAAGACCCAATCGTCCCTCCCTCACAGCTATCATCGTAAAGTCGGTTGCAAGCTCTTGCAATCACTACGGGATAAACACTCCGAAGCGAGAGAAGATACACAAACCCCTTGTTGCAGCAACGAACCCAGGCCAAAACCGAATCAGGTAAGCTTCATTTTTTTTTTCCCTTGCTTCTCGTTTTATTTTCTCTTTGTTTTTATTAATCATCGCTTCTTCCTCTGTGTTAATAGTCTTATAGTTTGATTATAGTGTGATCGGGATTTGAGGGGAGGGGAGAGATCCAACGGAACTGGTGAAACCAGTTCCTGTAGGTTCTCAGTCCCAACCCAATACCGTCGTTTATTTTTCGGTATTGTTATTCACATATGGACTCATTTTGAGAAGAAGACACATCCCAATTGTTGGGAGATCAGATTTGAGCGTCTCTATGTTTTCTATGCTATCCTCCTCTCTGATGGTTATAGTAGCTCTCATTTTTTTGTGTTGTTGTTTTTTTATATTTCTTTCACTCTTCTGTGATGAATTGATTCTGATCGGATAAAAGGTTGCTGCAATCTCAATGTTAATGCTTTACATCTTTTGATTTAATTGTCTGATTGATTTTCTGCTGTGCTTTGATATGCTTTAAGAATAGTGATTATCATGCTTACTTTGTTTCATTGTCCGTGGTTTCACTATATGTGGTTGTGTAGAATGAATGTGTAGTTGTGATTCCTCCCACTCCCACGAATGCGTCTTTTTGGATGGAATACTGGTCTGATTTATTTCAGTCAAATCATGCTAAAAAATGCTGGGTTTGTCTTGACCATTCGGCCTCACTGAGGTGGGAGAAGATTGTCAATATTGGACCTCCGATTACAGAAGAGCAATTGGACCATAAAAAAAGACTAATAATAAGATATATATAGGGAGGGATTCTCCTGTGATATTTATTTGTTTTGCTTTATTATGCTATTAGTGAATTAAATAATCCTTTATTATGTGTTTGTTTGTTTGTTTGGAATGCCATGTGGGCCCCACCTATTGGACCCGGGAGAGGGGTGCTTAATCCCTTCCCCCTCCCATCCGAGACCTACCCGGACTGGTTTAGCCGTGCCTCGGGCTGCTGGAGTCACTAATAAACCAAAAACACTTTCCGATGTAAATCCCGGAGGTCCCATCACCTCCATTCCCATAACTGATGGATGACGACTCCAAATCCAGCCCCAAGTGACCCATTTTCCCTATGCTCACACCCTATGAACTCATTGCAGATTTGCAATTCCTATTTATCTTGCTTGGACCTCAACCATTTTCAGTAGTTCATCATGTTAACAAGTATGCCCAGTAAAGTGAAATCATAGCCAAAGGTGGGTCCATATGTTATCTAACATTACCCTAACCAATAAAGTTAAATACATCCTTGTAGAATTCAATTCTATTTTTACTTTGATATTAATAGAAATTTCAGATCCATGAAGCATTTTATGAACCTACCCAAACCCATTCATTTAGGATATATTTCAACTCATGGACTTAGCAATATATATGGATTTGGATCAATATATGTGGGCGGGGGG